AAGGAAAATAAAAATCTCAAAGTTGTTGAGAGGTTTCGCGAAAGTGAGGGTTTGCGCAGGGCAATTTGTGTGTTGAATTGGATAGCCTTTTGATGTTGTCTACAACTTTGTATTTATAGTGGCTGTAAAGCCATTGGATGACATGTGTTGATGCACAAAATCGGTGATGATTTTGGTACAATAGAAAGTGTTAAGTTTGTGACCTTCACTAGATTGCTTCGGTCACTAGTGTGGATAAGTATGTAAATGGATAGAGACAGGGAAGCAAATACAAGATGTACGTGGTTCACCCAAATTGGCTACGTCCACGGAGTATATGATTTCTCATTAATTGTGAAGGGTTTACACAAGTACATAGGTTCAAGCTCTCCTTTAGTGAGTACAAGTGCATGGTTTAGTACAAATGACATTAGGAAATATTGTGGGAAAATGATCTTTTTTTATAGAAGAGAGTTTCTAGCTTTGTTCTGACATTGACAAGTGTCGTGTTGTGATTGGCTTCTGATGTTGACACGTGTCGCGCTATGATTGGCTTCTAATGTCGACACGTGTCGCGCTGTGATTGGCCTCCTGGTTGGAGGGAAACTCTTCTGGGTCTTTGACGGTATAACGTTGACCGGTGCTCAACAGTTTCGTGATTGGTCAAGTATGATACAAACAACGTGTTTTTTTCCAACCAAAACTCCATCTCCCGAGTTATATGCGTAGATACATCCATGCAATTCTGTAAAGACTTGCAATTCAATTATAATTCTTCCCTCAACCCATCATCTGGTCGCTCATCTCTTCCAACACATACAACTTTATCCTGTGCATGCACAAAACCAAATAATATTTCATGATAAGGCCATGTGCTTTATGAGATGTATTTTATCTCAAACGGAACTCTAGGTTGATAACAAGAAGCCACGTGGGCTTGTTACTGCCTCAGATGTTGCTTGCATGCCTATCTCCATTAATTCAAATGGAAAATCACAAACCAACTTGATTGTGAATCAATCAAGTCATCACGTGCTGCATGCTTTCAAATCAAATATAATTAGTTTAATCCTTTATCCAAGCAAAAAGGCATGACGTCATAGGCTCTCACGACTCTTGCACAGTATTAATCTCATTTAATCTATCCCGACGACTCTTACACAGTATTAATCCCATTTAATCTATCCCGACCTCCTCAGACTCAAAAGATCTCTTTCAAGATAATTACCATGATTAAAATTAATAGTAATATGAAGAAAAATCTGTTTAGTCTTGGAGTCATTTAATGGTTCAACGCAACATACCGATAATGTAAAATCGGATCCAAACAATTCTGTACAAGAAAATCAAGACGATTTATTAAGAGATAATTATTACGATTAAAAACCGTAACAAAAATAAAATTATCTTGACTTTCTTATCCGACCGTCTAGAATCATGCTCCTTCAACGGGCTAATGATGTAAATTTGTGTCCAAACACACACACACACACATACGTAAATACGTAAATGTAACTCACTAAAATCACAAAAACAGTCTTCCGTTGTAAGTTATCCCGACACATATGCAGTAGTAACTCATCAAAATCACAATGCAATAGGCGGACAAATAATGGCCCACAAGTAGTAGAAAATAAGGGCAACAACTTCTTCTCATGAAGAAGTTGGCAGAGTCTTCGGATAGGAACTAATAAGAGTTTACATCCGCATGTATTTAAGAAAAGAAGCTAGCAGTTTTGGATAGGAACTAATGGCAGTTTGCCTCCATATGCCTCTGGGAGCTGGCTCTCGTCGATATCTTTCAGCAGGGTTGAGTTCAGTTTTTTGTTTTCGACAAAAATGATCTGCAACGATAAAAGGTAAACAGAAGATTTAGTTATAACGTGATGTTGAACAAAAGTATCTCCCTTTAGCCTCCGGGTCTGACAGTGCATCAAATTATTTTCCTTATGACGTTCATGACATATTCAACGTTTCTCATTTAACTACATTAACAACGTTAGCATCATCCAAGCAGTCTAGTGGTACTTTTCTTCCCAATGTTGGTAGGGGTCTTGATTTTGTATCCCGACTCCCCCATTGACCACAAGAAAAAGAAAGATTACGGTAGGGGCTGCAAATTAGTATACCTTCTTTTTGGTTTTTTTGTCAATAAATGGGTAAACCATCTTCCAAGCAGTCATGAATACATAAGGCACATGGACAAGATATAACTTGCCAAGCCTCTCCGGGTAGCAGTCCTGCCCAAGACAACAAAGTGCAGATGCAAAAGCAAAATCACACAATTGAACAGAACTGATACACACACTCCGATTGCATTCATTCACCAAATCGATTAAAGACAACTACTTAAAATCTCGTTTGATAAAATGGATCGAGCTAATTTGAACCTGTAAGATTGTCAGAGCTGCCAAGTATCCACGAACATCGCTATTGGTATATCCCCATCCTTCAATATCTGCAATGGACACAAACTTTTCCTTTCCCGCTGGCATTCTGAAAGATAAAGCCAACATATTACACATGAGTCTATGACATAGCAGTTCACATCTCAACTCTTACCACGTTAACTTCGTAATACAATCGTTCTGCGCTCATTCAAAGATATCGATAATCCATCAAAACTATCATACTAAAATGATCGAACCACCAAAAATACATTGTCATAACGAAGATTGAGGTTACCTGGAACATATTTTTTCAAGAGTGTAGACTACAAAACCTGCAAAAGGCAATGTCGAAAACTTAAAACTGAATGCATATCTCAGAATCTCATCTCAAATCCAAAATATATGCAGTCTCATAAATTATCAGAGTCCCCGAAAATGTAGTACATACGTTTGAACTCTTCGAGTGTGGTCTGCTTATGCCGCCCACCATACACAACGACAATGGGGCGTCCCGTCTTGTCCACACCTTGCATAAACAGCTTGTTCTGAGCAAGTTGTTTTGGAATCTCTGACTCCGAGATTGAACCATTTGGCACAAATGACTTCTTCCAACTCAGATACTTGAGGAACATGTTAGTAGCCTTCTCAATATCCAGATCACGCGCCCGAAGAAATCTCCGAATCATGAAATCATCCACATCCTGCACACCAGCACACCAGCACACCAGCACACCAGCACACCAGCACACCAGCACACCAGCATTATGCAAATGTATGAAGAATGTGAACAATGTGAGCAATCTAGATGCATATAAGGCCCATAGAGTGAATTAGGTATGCAAATGCTTCAAATTGAACACTAATTTTAGGACTACCACAAGTAATAAATTTATGAATTTTCCTGGATTAACCAAAATTAAATTCTTACTTCCATAAGAAATTTGAGCACTAAACAATTCAATTGAACTCGGTTGCATTTCCTACCAAACCAATTTAACCACACTCGCTAGATATACAATAATCACAAACATCTGAAATCACAACCATTTTTAACTTCAAAAATCTAAGCAAAAGTAGCGACATTGTACAGAAATGCTAACAAAAGGTACTTGTTAGGATTAATGAAGAACAAAATCTAGAATCATCGCGTGAATTAGATCCGTTGGTTAAACCAATGTGTCTGCCTTTGCGGCCAAAATTTAATCCTTTTTCTCGTAATTCGAGTAAATTAGAATATTTATATGTAAATAAATAAAAACCATTCAACAAAAGAATTATAAACAAAAGCAAGGAGAAAAAAAAAAGCAAAAAAGAGGAAAGGGAAAGGGAGTGGAAGGAGGAATCCAATTCCACATCCCAACCTTGGAGGAGGGATCTTCTCTTTCCACAAGTGCTCTCATGATTCCCATTTTGTTTCTCTCTATCTCGTCGCTCTCAAAGTTTGCTTCTTCTTCCACTTCCTCATATGCTACTTCCATCCCCTTCCCACTCCCATTGCCGTTCGATGATTCCATTCTCTCTCTCTCTCTCTTTTTCTAATTTTTCAATCCCCTCCTCTGTGTTCTGACCAGTTCCTACCACAAAACCCAGCTTTCCAAATTCTTAATAGATATCTAGAGAGAGAGAGAGAGAGAAAGAGAGAGAAACTGTGTGTGTGAGAGAGAGAGAGAGAGAGAGAGAGAGAGAGAGAGATGGAGGGGGACTTCAATTCAGGTAGTTGAGAATTGTCAATAGATGGCCGAGCTGAGTTGGTCCGCCCGCCGACCCCCGGAATTTGACGGACTCGTGAGATTCCGTCAAAACCTAACAAAACCAACTCATAAAATGTGTTGCAACTCCCACTGTTGACTCTTGCTTGTGTACATTGACTAACGCCCGTCACCGTTTCTCCGTTCCTTGTATATTATAATTTGGCTTTGCTTTTTTACCGCCCCTCTCTTGACCGGATTCGGCAAACTAACCAACTCGGCCATTGTCATGATAAGGTGGTGGATTCGTTTATTCAGTGTTTTCTTGATTGCGATGCCAAATTTTTTAAAGCGTCTCAAACTGTTTCCATCCTTGCTGGATGGGAACTTGATTTTTATTTTAATTCGAGTCAATGAAATTAATCTGACGTGGAAAATTTAGAACCGTTAGATATTGTTTGACGGTTCAGATTAGAAGTCTGGTATACGCATCCATTGGCTTAGTTCGTCAAAGAAGATATTAACTTGTGATTTAAGTTTGTCTTGATTTTCCATTTCAAGGAAAATGAAACCACAACCTACTTTCACATGATTAGGAATTATTTTATCAAGGTCTAGACATTTATGCCCTTATAGGAAAAGTGACGTGGACATGGTTATTCGGCTTTAATTTATTTTTCTCGTTATCATAATTGAATAGTACTCATTGTTATGAACACGTGAGCATGAGTTAGACCAGAAACGGACTTGTAACGAAAAAGTTATGCACATTTAAAGTGTGTTAACAACGGGTATAATTGTACACGCATGTGCAAATTAACCAGTGTTGGAAACACTTTTTTAGATAGGATGAGTCAGATTTTATAGATTTCTTGTAGTAGTTTTATATTGCATGAAATATGATCCATTCCCTCTTTAAAATTGGACTTGTGACCTATTTTCACCCACCAATCAGTCACTCTCCTCAATTCTCTCACCCAATCAGATTTTTCTTCTCCTCAGGCAATCATAAAGCTTTCTCTTTCTCTTTCTCTCTCTCTCATCTTCTCCTTCTCTCTCTATCCCAAGACCCTCTCCTCTCTGCAACACACATACACCACCACCAAACTTCACAGATCAAGCTTGCAACCATTACCATTGTGTTCCTCTCGTCCCCACGAACACATATGTACCAACCAATCACGAAATGGACGAGGTTTGAGTGTTCAACTCGAAGCAACTCGGAAGCTCCGACTCGGGGGTGATTTTCCATTCGAGTTCCACATTTTTAGAAGGTTTGGAAGCATTTAGGCGACTCCCCGAGACCACTAGCCTAGCTTTGAAGTGGAGCAGATGAGGAAAACCACGGGTTTAAGACAACAAAAGTAAGGTCGAGAGTCTCAAGTCTATTTTGATCCATTCCTCGTCCATTTTTGGACTTTTGGAAGGTACAACCTTATTCTCCTCTTCCTGAGCTTCATTTCCATATAAAGTTTGTCAAAAATGGTTGAGAAATGAATAAGATGTGAAGGTTTGAATTTTTTCCAGAATCCAGCCAAATTCTCTAGTTTTCGACGAACCAGATGATGGCGACAGCGGCGGAGCTCCATCGGAGAATAAGACAAAATATTTTGTCAGACTTAATGAAATATTATGACGCCGTTAAGGTTAACGGAATATTCAGTCAAATCTAACGGAATATTCCTCTGTCAGTCTGTTAAACGTGTCAGACGTGTGTGGCCGTGACCTGGTGGCGCGTGACGGCGTGTCCGGCCACCGGCCAACTTGTACAGGTCCATATCGTCGAGTATAACGTTTTCGTATATTTACACCCTATGTTTAAGCAAACTATGGGGGTTTGTCCTAGCCTTTTTGTTTATGTCCTTATTAATTAATTAGTTTAGTTATTTCCCACATAAGTGAGACTTATCCCGAGGACGTACGAGGTCAAGTAAGGTAAGGAGGCTACGATCCGACCACGTATCAGTGAGTGGGCATTTGTTTTTATATATATGATATATAAAGTTTTATAGTTTCCACAAATGCTTTTGGATTGATTTATGCATATCATGCCATGATTAAATAACGTTATAAGAAATGTTGTATTGTTGTGAAATGCTAAAATAATCATACGGGACGCGCATGTAAGTTTATTATGTTGACTAGAATTATTGAATCGTTATGGCATGCTTATATTTATGTAGTTTGTTTATCATTGATGCACTTGGTGTTAGTGCTCGCCCAGGATGTAATACCCCGTATTTAAAAAAAAAGTTATATATATATATATATATGGATGTATGTTGGGTAATTATTTTTACGTAATGATTTTATTTGATTTATTTTTATGCAAGAACTTATTTTTCGTATGTAAAATAGTTTCAATGTAAAATCCTTTTTTCCTGCAAATTATTTCAAAACCTAGTTAGTAGTATTTCATGTTCATATGTAATTAGAGATATTTTTAGTTTGAATTGGAGGAGGGAGATTAAATGAGTTTGGTTTGATTTTCCTCACAAAGGGCCAAGAGTTTGAGGTTGGACTGAATGAGTAGTTTTGTTTTGTTATTTTCTCTCAAAGATGAGGTGGAGAGTTTGTAGCATTAGGAGTTAATGATTTGGTGATTACTCACCACTCTAAATGTGAAGGTGGAAGTCTACTTAAGGGTGAGTTGGCAAGTTTGTATTCATTAGGAATCTAAGAGTTAAATGTTTGGTGATGATTCATCCCTCCAAAGTTTGAAGAGGTGGGATTCACATTCCTTAGAGATGAACGTGGCCTTGGATGCTTGTATCCACCTTGCATAATATTGATTAACTTCACACATGTCTCTTTGCCATTTGAACACATACAATCATCAATGATTACCTTAACATTTGGTGTGTTTCTATTGGAACACATATTAGAGCTAAGGTTTTGCTTAATATTTGTTGTTTGTCTATTGGATCACATTTCATTGTTAATGATGAGAACAACACTTGGTGACTTGGTATTGGAACACATATCATGGAACTACATTTGGTGATTTGCTATTGGAACACATGTGCCATGAATCATGAAGAAAAGAAGCAAAATAAGGTCAATCTATACGTATAGAGCTTCAAAGAGAGGGAATTCAAGGGAAGGAACACAAACACTCATTATTTAAAGGAGGAGGAGAGAGCACGGAGAGAAGGAAGAAAAGAGGAGCAACAATTGTCGTTCTCATATCATTGTTTTTTTTTTTTCATATTTTGTCAAGGCTTCTTAGCCATTGTCATGTATTCATAAATTCTCATTACCTAGTGAAATACAAATACAAACACAACCCTAGTGGACGTAGCTAAATTGGTGAACCACTTTAATCTTGTGTTGTTTATGCATTTATATTTTGGAGATCATTGCCATAAGAACACTCCCATCAAACCATAAAAAATATCCATTTATTTCACTTGAGAATGATGTACAAAAAGTGTATGACAAATCCCAGAAAAATAGATGAAACCTTACCTAACAAATCTCCACCAAACTCCATCTATCAAAAGAAAGATATCAAAAAATTAGAAATTCATCCAGCCTATTTAACAGATCAAAACACAATTATCCATAGATTATATCATAGAACTGTATTCATGAGAGTTGTTTGTCTATCTCTCTACCATGACATATCAAAATTTCAGGAAAATCGAACGGTGCGATCGTCTAATATGTTTGAAATACCAACTCATGTAATTCCATAGAAAACTGGACAGCCATGTTATGAGTACCAAAACCCCATTTTTCGTAGCCTCCAATCGAAATACTTCCTTCACAAAAGTTTTTCCTTATCATCTCATCTATAGCATATCCAAAAACCATGACAATCCAATCTATGTGCTGACTTGTATTCCAGTTCGAACAACTGATGTTCGGTTGAGCTAGCCTTTTCTACTAACCTTTTTGCATGGCCAACATCTCTAGTTTCTTTCGCTCACTTTCATGAAAGTTTTTCAGCAATCTAACTCCTATTACATATGTAGAGTTTCAGCTATATTAAAGAAACGGAAGGGGAAGTGGTGAAGGAAGAAAGAGAACAAGAGGGAGGAAATGAAATTGAAACAATAAAAAAAAAAGGAAATGGTAACATATTGCTTATCATTTACATTAAAGATTATTATTTTGTTAATATTATGATTATATTACTCTTGTTACTAATCAATTTGATTTATGTTGAAGCTTGTAGGATTGTCAGATAAAATGTGAGTATTGATATCACATGACATATACATATGCATTGTAAAGCAAGAAAAAGAGTTGTGTCGTGTCAAGTGCTCACTTGTGTAAAGTGTTTAAGTTGTGAGGATATTCAAGGGCTGAAGTTTGCCTTGAATAATAATGAACTGTGTATATGTCAAGCGTAGGGTGTAGGGCTTGAGTATACAAATTGGTTGATTATAAAATAATGAAATCTTGTATATGTCAGGCGTAGGGTGCATGGCTTGAATATACAATTGGGCGTCGGGGGAAGTGCTTGTATAATAAAGTGGACATTGAGAGTTTAATTATAAAAACTGGGTTTAAGGGATGAACGGGGAGTTAACTCATATTCTAACATACTTGGAGCCAAGTGGTATAAGCATGATATGGGACGTGCAGGCTTGGGTGCATTAGGTATGTGTTGATGGGATTAGAAGGGAGTGAGTACATTTATGCATCTTATTGAATACATTTTATGTTTTTGCAAGAGCTACTCATTTCAATTATTATTTTAGTTGGTACTTTTGTTATGAATTAATTTTGTATATTAATATTTGTTACAATTTAATTTTTATTTTGTTAGTAGTTTTTGTTGTGAATTAATTTGTGAACTATAGTGATTTTGCTGCGTATTTTTAAAAATCGTATGTAAGATTTTGTTGATGTATGGTGTATTTGTTATAATTTTATTTTATTTTCCACCATATCTTGGTTGTAGAATTTATTTCTATAGCTAAGATATGGTTCACACCCTAACTCGTGAATAGTCTTTATTTGCGGGTCGGGGGGTGACACAGGGTCAGGGCCAGTCTTTCACGTGTACGTTCACATATGAACTACACGCTCGCCTTGGATCCAAGTGGGTGCCAGTCATGTTGTACAAGTTGCAATAGGTAACTCCGACATCTTGTCATACAGGTTGTAATAGGCAACTCCAACTCGTATGTGACTGCGAATAGCTCTAGTTTTCACGTGATTGTAGCACTAGAGTGTATATTATGATTACACCCAATCCAATCGTACATGTTGCATTAGGCAACTCTGACTTATGTGCTAGCATAGATTGATGAGCATCAGTCCAGTTGTACAAATTGCATTAGGCGACTCCGACTTGTGTGCTAGCATAGATTGATGAGCACCTGATTCTATTATGTTATTGTTGAGATGTTATGATTGGCATATTTCTGAATTTATTGTTGATTTGCATTGATTGCATACCTATATGTAGTATGATTTTCCGGAAACTATACACGTTTTACAGCATGAGGTTAGTATGTTAAAAAAACAAATGTGTTTTATAAACCTTTGTTTTTGCCCACTCACCCTTCTGTTTTTCACCCCTCCAGGTCCTAGATAGCTGAATTACTTTGTGGCATATGAGGATTAGCCGGTGATTCTGACCTACCCCTAATAAATGTAGGAACTGATTCTAGTTGTGTATTAAGTACTTAACTAGTTTCGACTGCACACTATTTTGTCAACTATGCTCTGAATATTTGTATTCTATGGGTTCTACCCACTACTGCACACTCACTTTATTAGTTTATAGGTTATAGTTTCAGTTTTAATTCATTCATATTTTTACATCACTTAACACTTTTGGTTACGTCACATTCGGGTGACGGCCAGCATGCCTTGACTCTGGTTGGTGTGTGTCAGGACGAATTTTTATGAGCTCCACTAAATATGGTGTTAAGAAATCTCTCGGATTGGGAATTAATTACTGCCCTACGTTTGGTGTTTTTTTTTTCTGTCAAATCTAAATTTGGTGTTGTGCCGAACTACTGAACTATAAAGTTAGTGATAAGCTATGTTTAGTGTTGCATCATACAAAAAAAAAAGTCAAAACGCAAGATATGGCCAAAAAAATAGAACTAATAATGTGAAATTAACGAGTGTTCTTCCGAAAGTCTTTTAAGTAGTGTTCTTCCGAAAACATTGTGAAAACAACGTATGAAATCCGAACGGATGTTAGACAGTGGCATTGACCTCTTTTCACCTTCCAAAGAGATGTACAATTTTCTAACCCACTCAGCAAGCTTGAAATTTCCTCACAATTTTAAATCATCAAGATCTCTTATCATTTCACGACTACTAATGATCTCAGTGATAAAAGATTAGGTTTTTTTTTTTCCAGTACCCCGACTGGGAGAAAAGTGAGGCCCTTCACCCTACGTATTTCGAGGGAAGTAAAAGTGGTTAGGCGTTGATAGAACATAACTTCAACTTGTGCAGAGATGGAAAATCCTTAGAGTGAGCATTTCTCCGTTCCATACGACACTTGAGCGTCAACACTTGGAAGCATGGAAACCCAACAACTTCTTCATTTAGTTAGAGCTCGGCAATCACTAATCTTTAAGCTTTTCAATGCTGGAAACGAAGCCAAAGCTGCTGTTCAGGCAAGGATTTCCCTCGCATGGCTCCCCAGGGGTGTGGCACTTGGTTGGTAGTAGGGTGAGTTCTTGCTACTCAGTATGCTGCAAGGTAAGTTAATAGTTATTTTGAAAGGTGCCTTTGTAGGGCCTTTGGTGTAGGCCTTGACGCTCGTAATCAAAACTAACAAGAATTTAGGTGTGCCACTATTATCTCAGTATAACAGATATTGAATAAGTGTGAGTTAAGTTGGTTACTTGCGCCCCAAGTTACTTAAACTTCTCGTTATCAAAGGATTGTCACAGATGGGTTAAGTCTGCATTAGGTTCTTTTTCTTGCCTTGTAAACAAGGACTTTTTAGTTCATAATCTTGTACGTCTAAAATGAAGTGAGTTCAGGGCCCTTTTAACCATTTCCTAAAACATAATTTGTTCTTAATGAAAACATGTTTATTAAGTTAACCAGATTCGAGTGCAAATGGGACTCTTAGGTAGAAAACGGTTGGAAATAACTTGAATACATGTTGAAAAGTGCATTAAGAGACATATCTACTAAATAAAAGTACAAACAAAGAGACTCGGGTAAGATTTCACCTTGTCGGGTAAGGTCGAACTTCTTGCAACCATTTCTCTTTGAGTTTACAAAGGTTGTAAGCTAAAAGGGATGGATGGTAAATAGGTTTTACACGAGGGAATCGATACTACAAAGCTAAGGGAAGTAGCTGAGCTTTTACACTAGACAAAAGATGGCTTTTTTAAGGGAACTATAGCTAAAATAACTGAATCTGGACAAGTTTCAGCTTTTTGGGTATGAACTGGCTTAAGAGCAGAGTTTGTATGTATTTTGATTGGTTATTTGAGTGTCCTTGTCTTTGATGTCTCTTTCTCCTTTTATAGACAATCTGGCCCAACTGCTTTAGCCTTACTCTTGGCCGATGGCTTTCGAAGGGCAGCGAGTCATCGTTTATTTACTGGTCATTCCACTAGAAAGTGATTTTTGATTGATAGTGAGTTGATCTCTGTCATTTGTCACTTCAATCATAGGCATATGGCCTATGCCTTGACTAAAAATGACTTCAAGTTGCTTCAGGCCTCTTGGTCGGGCTTCGGGCAAGTCCCCATTTGCTTTGGCATCCTTGGGCCTCCTTATCATCAAGCCCAATATTAAATAAGGGTGTGATATCCACACTCCTCATTTTACTTCTCACACACCTTTTTAATTTTCGGTTGTCGGATCGGATGAATTAAAGAAGATCAACATACATAAATTATCAAGGGGTGTGTACAAGTAAAATTGAGTGTGTGGATAGCATACCCTATTAAATAATAACCCAAACAACTGCCCTCTTCATTGTACCTTCATCGTTAACATAGTTATAGCCATAAATGAAACTTAATTCAACACACATTAAGCTGAAGCATATCCTTAACTGTAGCACTGGACTTCCTCACATTCCCATAAATTGCATAACTGAAGGTGCTAAGTTAGCAACATTGTAGCCATATATATATATATATATATAAGATTTCTAACTTAGGGTTTGGTTGGAAGCCTTCTAGTACATCTTAGTCATTATAGTTGCCGTTTCTCTCTCTCAAACAACTACATTCAAATCCCTCATCCATCGTATGTTTGCCTTCTGAAATTCCTCGTGGTATTATTGGAGGAGTTTGTGTCTTCTGTTGAAAGAAAATGTTATCTTCGATTCTCTATCGGATTGTGACACTTATTGAGAATGATGATATTTCATTAATTGAATAA